AGTAAAAGACAAATTAAAGAAACAAACTACATGTAGACTGTTCAAGCTTCTAAATACAGGTACAACAATAAATTTATTATACTGTACCCTTATTATATCTATTTGATATTCGGTCAGAAGAGACTGTTGCTGCAAAAAAGTCAACAGAAGACCTTCCACATTCAAGTCTGTCACCAATGCCACTCGGTTCTTGGTCACACACTCCCTGAGTGCCTTCAGCTGATCTCGCAACATCTTTTCTGACGCCATGGCTCTTTCGTCTTGTGTTCCTACAAATACATATCTGTTAGTTCCATCATAAGGTTCATGGTGACACGTTCATTGAAATGAAAACTACTGCAGAGACCTCGTGACACTGCCATTCGCGATCATAGTCTATTATCAAAACGGCACAGCTAGCACATATTAGAAACCGCACGTCTTTGCCAAGTTTTATTGAGGTTCCGGGTTATTAATATCAGTATCAACAATTAATTACAGATCGGTCACAGAGCTTATATTATAGATATTGACCAGAAGTATATCCTGGCCTTGTGATGTGGCGGTGTGATAGGTATAGTAGTCCGCTAAGAGTCCGTTTCTCAATTTACCTGCACTGGACCGGTAATACATGTATACCGAGCGGGGTACTAGTACAGAAAAACCAACGTCTCGCCCCAATATCAACTCTAACTAACCACACTGGAGGTGAGAATTCCGTTCCTACGGCTCAAAGAAATTTACTTACATGTAATGAACTACTCCCTGGCTGCTTAACCCTGAAGATTAATTGTTTAATATCGCCAAAACAACCTTTAATGCTACTTTCACATTCACAATTGTTGGTCTGTGCCAGCCTCTACAGCGCATGCGCAACTTGAACACCAGATAGTGACGTAATGCGCGGTCTCTAAAATTTTTAAAAAAAATTCAAATGCGTAGAACTAACTAAATTTATTTTCAGAAGAATATTTGATGAACTTTTGAGTCAAGTAGGGAATAGTAAACAAAAAAGAGAGTAAAACGCAATAAAAAGCAAACAAAATTATTAAATTATTGTGTAAATAATTTTTTTTCACGGAGATCATACAAATGATGTTCTGCTGGTCAGCTACTCAATCAATTATAATGAGAATCAGTAAAATATAGGCTCTTTTTAAATTTTACATTCCTTTCCGCAATAACAACAATAAAGCCCCCATAAGTGAATGGCTCAATCATTTTCACCACAGGTGCAACACTTTTTTTAATTCTTGAAATATCCATCACATGTTTAATAAGTGTATATAAATAAATCATTCAAGTGACCTGCATTCTATAGATGTAAAAAAATAATAAATGATATTTTCCTTGGCATTGGACACCTGTCTTGAAAACAAGGCAGCAAAGCTGACAAATGTACAGACAAAAAGCAGGAAATAACAAAAAAGGCTACTGTCAATTCTGAGGGGCCGTAGCGATAGTCCGAAGGTTCAATAGTCCGAAGGTTCATTGGTCCGAATGTTCACTATAGAACCTTCGGACCAATGAACCCTTGATTAAAAAATCGATGAAAATGTTACCACTTTTCGGACCAATGAACCTTCGGACCAATGAACCTTCGGACTATCGAGACGCCCCCAATTCTGATGCAAAAGTACATTAAGTTAAACTGCAAATTCAACATCAAATTTTAATTATGCTCAACAGGTAATACCAACGTAAGTTAAATGTGTAACAAGCATAAGGCTTCAGGCCCATGGGAGTTCAAGTTCACACTTTGAAAATGTATAACTTCCACAAAAAGAAGCCAATTAGACTGCTTTTCCAACTCAGGCTGCATGTCGATTTTCGAACTTGGCCTGCGTTTTAGTAAGATCGATTACTCCTGAGAGTTTCATGACAACAGGCCTATCGGTTTTCCTTGAAATGTGTTTACAGTGTTGCATATATGTTGAAAAGTGAAAAAAAAGCATAACTTCTACAATAATGGCCCGATCATCCTGATTTCCGAACTTGACCTGCATTTTATGAAAATTCATCAGCTCTATAAATATAAAGCCCAAAAGTAAAACTGCCTTCCACTTATCGTGTTTACAATGAAAGTGCACGGCGCCGGCGTCGGCGATGATGGCGACGACAGACGCAGGTGATGGCAATATATACAGACACATTTATATATATTTACTATACTGTTTGAGAACAGTAATTGACATGGTTTTTCTTAAATGGTCACAATGGGAGCAGTGCCCAAATTAGGTTTTTTTCAAATTTTGATGCAATATTACATAATTTTTAACAGCATAATGACCATCAATTTTTAATAATAAAATATTAGTATCATGGATATTCAGAAAATGTGACTAGCAAAGGTCTTCAGGCCCATTGAACTTCAAAGTCACAACTTGAAAATGCCAAAATGTAAACAAGACAGCACTGTTCTGAAATGGGTTTATTTCCATTTTTAACAATTTTTAACATAAAACAAAATTAACAGTTTACTGCAATTTTTAAATGACCAACTAAGAAAATTGATGAGATTGATCAAAAAATATCAATAGAGCAGTGTTAAATGTCCAATTTCTTCCATTCTGAGATTCTGAACATAGTGAATGATTCAGTCTGACAAACTGCAATGATATGAGTTTATTTCCATTTTTGTAACTTTATTACACAATATACAATTACAAGTTTAACATCATTTTTACAAAATCAACTAACAATGTTGTAAAGATGCAGGAAATGTCAAAAAAACACTTTTACATATCTTATTAATTAAATAATGAAACTGTTAACATGCCTAAGAATTGAATCTAAGGAAATGTAAAAAACAGCATAACTTCTAAAATAATGGCCCGATTATGCTGATTTTTGAACTTAACCTGCATTTTAGCAGAAATGACCACTCCTGTGAGTTTAATGACAATTGGCCTATCTGTTTTTCTTATATTGTGTTTACAGTGTTGCATATATGCTGAAAAGTGAAAAAAAAGCATAACTACTAAAATAGTGGCCCGATCATGCCGATTTTCGAACTTGACCTGCGTTTTAGTAAGATCAATTTTTCCTGTGAGTTTCATGACAACAGGCCTATTGGTTTTTGTTGAAATGTGTTTACAGTGTTGCATATATGCTGAAAAGTGAAAAAACAGCATAACTTCTACAAAAATGGCCCGATCATGCTGTTTTTCGAACTTGACCTGCATTTTATGAATATTCATCAGCTCTGTAAATATAAAGCCAAAAAGTAAAACTGTCTTCCACTTATCATGTTTACAAGGAAAGTGCACGGCGACGACGGCGACGGCGACAGCGACGACGGCGACGGCGACGACAGACGCAGGTGATGGCAATATGTGCAGACACATCTGTGTCTGTACATAAAAATTGTACGCTGTCTGAGAAGAGTTTTCTACTAGCTGGTAACTGCCAAACTATCAATAAAAATAATAATAATATTAATATTAATAATAAATAATAATAAAGGGAGACCAAAATAATATTTTGAAATTCAAAACAAATACCCGAGAGCAATGATGACCTAGAAGCTACAAGTTAAGTTGTAGCTTCTAGAGGGGGGGGGGGATTAAGAGAAGGGCATTTTCAGTGTGGAGCAGACTACTACCGCAAGTGTTTTCTTGCATGCACAACATTTAAATCATTCTCATGCCACCCCCTCATTTTTTTTACCACCCCCATCAATGTAATATCTGAATTAATTTTTTTTTAAATATATTTTGAAATAAATCTTTGCTAAACAAAAACTTTGCTTCTTTTCATTTTTGTTAAACACTAAAGTTACACACACACACACAAAAAAAAAAACAGGTCACACTGAGCAATAATACTTGAAATAATATTTTATTACTTGAAATGTCGATAAACAAGAAAAACCCATTTTCTTTGGTTTCATTAACAGTACTTAAAATATATGTATTAAGATAGTCACTAAATTCATTTTTATATTGACAGCAAATGCAAGTAAGAGGGTAGAGTTTTACTATCTTCAAAATCATTGCACTTTCAAATTTCATGAAAATTATATTCAAACACTGTTGAAGGGTGAAATTTCATTTTTGGAAAAATCACAACAGCATTTTCTTTGAGAGAAAATGAGAGTTTACATAATAGCTTGAAAAAACAGTTTAAAACCATGTAACTGTTTTTTTACCTCTTTACAAGATTGAGACTTTGAAAGAAAAAGTTTTATATGAAGAAGAAACTGCTTCGCTTGACAATTGTGGATACTTTATCTAAACAAACAAAATAACTTATTCAATAATTTATGAAGTTCATATATATATATATATATATATATATATATATATATATATATATATATATATATATATATATATATATATATATATATATATATAGCAGTATATAATACTTTCAAAGTATATTAAGCCTTCTTGAAAGTCCAATCACACGGATACATTGAGCTATATCATTGTTAAGCACGCATGATACCAATTAACTTCTTAAAAATTAAGTTACAGTGTTTTGTCTTTTCACTTCACATGTGTGTTAACTTCAATAATCTTCATCATTGAAATAAGATAACCTGATCTGCCCATATTTAAAACAGTTCAGAATGATTTTCTTATAAAATTTTCTTGTAAGGTTAAAATTCATTGTTACAGTACCAATGATATACACAGATAACAACAATGTCTAAAATTGGAAAACATACATGTGGAAGTGAAAAATACCATTTTTTTTCAATAAGGTATCAAATTTTGTTTATACTGTATCCAGTCATATGTTTTTGCTCTCCAGTTAGAATAACAGTTCTTCACCACATTAGACATGTGAATGGCAGCTTCTTTTTCTGTCGCTTCTGGACAAAATCTCTGACGCAGTAGTTTGATGGTCTGTCCTCTGAAGCAGGGTAGTCCTGTGTCCAACATCAAGGACACCAATGCTACAATGGCCTCTCTATATGGTCTGGAACACAATAACTGTTGTAAGCAATACTCAATAAAGTAAAATCAAATTTTAAAGTTGTTTTTTACTGACTGACTGACAAGTAATATTTGGCAAGACCTTACAAAATAAGCTGACATAAAATATATAAGATTATTCCCAAGGTATTTACATGGCAGATGACACAGACCCCATCTGTCTAATGCAAGAATGGGAACAGATAATGCTAAAAAAGGGGTAAGCTCCTATCTTTTTAAAATTTTCCTGCATTTCTGAGTATATTTCTCAAAACCAGCAACTTTTTCAACTCTGCACTTCACATAAGAGAAGCAAGAAATACTCCAGGAGAAGAAATATTTACATTCCTGCATATGGTACAAGTGAGGAGCATGCACAGTCAATAGTATACCTTTTTATTTGGAATTCCAAGGCTTTGTTTTAGCATTAACGTTTGGACAACCTGCTTAATTTTACCTGACAGCTAGGAATGCCTGCACACACAGCTCCATAAACCACTGGAAAGGGGCTGCCTCCATCTTGTTTCCCATGATCATCACCATCTCATCTGTTAGCTTAAAGTCTGGCTCAAAGCCCAAGTTGCCTCCTGGGGAACTTTCAAACAGAAACCCAAAGTCTGCAAATAAAAGCACGTGGAGTGAATAATAAATACATAAAAACATGACATTGACATTGTTCTATTTTGTGCATATAATCAAAATCTGCTTCTCTTAGTACATGATAAGTGTCAGTGAAATGAATACTACTGAAGTTGAACTGCATTACCAAAAAAATAAAAAGACAATATTTTTTCTTACCAATGTGAATGAGATGCCCTTTGCTATTGAGCATCAAATTCCCATTGTGTCTGTCTTTAATCTGCAGCAAGTAGCAGATTACACTATAAGATGCCATGCTGATGATGAAGTTGCGACGGGCCTGAAATACCAGCAAACACAAGTGTATTTTAAATTTTTTCTTTCAATTAGTAATTTCAAAAGTGTATATTAAGACTAAAGTCCCCCCCACCAAAAAATTCCTCATTATTGAATATGAAACAAATGGAGCAGGATACCACTGAATCAAATGGTCTGTAACATATTTTACAGTAAAAGAAGTACTTATTTATTCATCATAAGACCAATTCTTATTTATCATAATGATATATATATATGTTGAAAATGTGAGATTACTCACTGCCTGAAATTTTGGTGTTGACTCATCTCCATATTTATCTATGAAATATGTGTACATCCCAATGTCTGTCTGGCGCCCAATCTGATCACGGGATTTACTGTCAGGAACACATTCTATTACACCACACTGGAATTTAAGCACACATACTACATGACACAAATGCTTTTGGCAATAAGTAAATAATTTCTAATAAAAACAGGTATCTTTTTGAGTAATGTATCTTACTGAGACACAATCACACAAGTGGATGCAAGCACACATTTATGCACGTACAAAAGCACACACACACACATGCACGCACGCACGCACTCACACACACACACACACAGCCTACATAAATTACAAATAGACTTCCAAGCCCTGAAAATGTTTTATTGTATCGCTGAATTACTTACCCCAGGTGCTGTAGCCACCACTCTGTAAGGTGCCAGGTACAGGTCCATGCCTATCAACTGGAAGATATTCTTCACCAAACCTATGATCTGTAATGCCAACATATCCTGAAATAGACCGATACATGTTATCAAAATATTTTTCATTTTTACATGATCTGTCAAGGAAGGTTAATAAATAATTAGTGAACTGGTGTGGCTGGAAGGATGAGCAATCTTTTCTTTTCTGGGTAACTAACTGGGGATAATCAAACTGTAAACAAGCATCATCGAAAATGTACCCATTCATTTCTATATTTTCTGTATCTAGGCATATTTTATTTAACACTTGCACGCCTATCAAAACTTTATATTGTCTGTATCACCTGTCTGACATCATCGCCCACTTTGAATATGCATCCCTGCCAGTAGAGGTCATCTTGTGTGTTCCTGTCACTGTCCACTCCACTGTCCTGCTCCTGAAGGCCAAGGTTCTCCAGCTCCTGGACTCCAGTTCTCTTTACTTTAAATCGAGCTAAGTAAGGAGCCTTAGCAGCACTGTAATATGTATATACATCTTATATTATGATGTTTTTGCTTCTCAAAAAAAAAAAAAAAAAAAAAGAAAAAAAGTGAAGCATTACATACACCAAACTGACAAAACCTCTTCACTTCCAACCAACAGATATTGTTCTTCACTTTTGAGATTGTCTAATACAAACAAAGAAAACAAAATTAAGTGTTTTTTTTAAACATTTAGAAACATAACTCGATCTCTTCTCAAACATGCCTTTATGGCATCTACACCAAGGCTCAAGATTTTACAATACCAACAATACTTCTACATAATGAGATTCAGTTAATGAAGGCGATTGATCATTTTAAAATACAGAATTAAATCTGTAATATATTACCTCTGCATGGGAGTGCCTGAATTATAATCTATCTCCAACACCACTGCCTCAGGGTTTGAAGGCAAGTAGCACCCTGGCTGCAACTGGATCTTACTCAGGGCATTCAAACAGGCCGACTTTCTCTCAGGGCCTTTTGGGTAAGGCCTAAAAAGAACACAAGCATATTCAGATCACTAATTTTATTAAGTCAATGTTATAAATGGGGGATATTAGACGGTCTACATCTAGTTGAACTTAATATGAATGCACCTACAGTAAGCACAAGACTATTTTGTTAATTTTTATGAAATCACTGGAGAGACATTTCATTTCTCACCTTATTTCTGCAGACACATTAGTTATTTTATCAAAAAAAGCAAATTCTCTCTCATAGAACTTGAGAGCAGGCCCTGACAGGGATTTGCAGATTCTTTCTATAAGTTCCTCCAAGAGATCTCCAATATCAGCTGAAATATAGAAGAATTAAGTAAGCATGAAAATATAAAACAGAATTAAGAATATTATTATTCCCACCAATTTGCCTGGAATAACCAACATAACTGATAAATTTTCACTCATACATATATTTTTACTGTCAATTATTTTACATTTAACAGAGAATGAGAGATGAGTTGACATTCCAACCCTAACGAAAAAGTCTTATAAGATCCTATAGGACTTTTTTGTAAGTTAACTTACGATCTTTAACACTGCCATCTTCATCCATGAAAATATTGGTCTTCATATTCCACAACAGCTGATGAGCTAAGAGCTGTGATTTCTGTGATGCCCACATGATAAACTCCTGCATATATCCCATCTTTAAAGGAATTAAATCAATCCAACCAATTAGGAAAATTCACGAGTCTATATTTATTATTTATCCTAACTCAACAACTTATGGTAATAACTGACTTAACTTGTGCGAAGTTTTTAATAGATCCCCATACTCATTGCTGACAATGACTTAAGAAAGTATAATTTTGTAAGAAACTGATGATGATAAATCTTGAAAAAATATTACAAAAGAAAATTAAGTATCCAGCATTTGCAAAATGTTACTGAAAGAGGTTAAGTAATCATCCAAACAAAGAAAAACTTCATTTTCAACTACAATCTTGATCAAAGTTTAAGAATCTTAAGTCTGACTTAGTATTACTGCCAAAGTCTCATGTCCACAGTATTGAAGAAATATACAAGTTACCTTATCATATCTCAATGCCTGAACTAGCTGAGGAATGTAGAACAACAGGGCATCCTAAGAAAAAAAACAACATAAAAGTGAATCATAAACTGTCTTTGATGTTCAGAAGTCTACAAAAACATTTAAATGCAAACATTTTAAGTTCTTACCAACAGAAAAAAGTTATCAAAGCAAAAAAGAAATAATCAAAGAAAACTCATTCTAACTGAATTTTAAAGAGAAGTCAATGTAGAATGATATCATCCAGCTGAACAGATATACTTGCACAGAAGCTGAAAGGTACTCACGTGAGGATAAGAGCGCAGCACCTTGACAGCATACTGTGCTGTGAGAGGGTGTGCTGGGTACAACCTTGAGAAGTAGGATAAAGCTGTTGTAGGGGGTGCTGGGGCCCAGTTCAATATGTGAGTCAACTGGAAAGTAAACATACATTTCACATTTACCATGCGTGTTTGTATGTTCTGACAAATCTTTGACAGATGATGGATCCTCTCCTGGTCCTGGTTAACCCTTACCCCTATCAAGCAACTATTTCACTATCATATATTGTTTCCCACTGTGTCCTATCGAACTGTTACATCTGGACATATTGCAATATTCTACAGTGTACACACCTCTGGCGAGTCCCTCTCCACTGTTTCTGTAGTCACTAAATACTGTATGGCACTTGGAATGTGTGATACAGCATCTGGGTTGAGGCGCACTAGGCGGGTCACCTCCCTCACCAGGGATTCGGAATTCTGGAATCTATATCAAAGGGGAATTTAAGTCCACCTCTTTTGAATTAGACAATAAAATACATGTATTGTATAAACAGTTGTTGTTTTTTAAAGATACATAAAAACTCAAGAAAGAAGTAAAAATATTCAATGGAAAAAAAACAAAACAAAATGCCCTCTATGAACCTTAGTGGCAGCATGACTGCTAATGCTGGAGAGATCTCCCAGGCCCAGTTGGCCATCTCTTTGTACTGTTTCTCTGTAACCTGTGTATTCCTCCATGCTGCTATCTTGTCCTCATCAGGGACGAAAAGATCCTGTTGTTGCAGTGGATTGTGCCAGGTGATCAGACGTTCTGCTTCATTAGCCTAGAAAACATATCTCAAGGTCACTGGAAACGGAAGCCCATGATAACAAGCACCTATGAAAATTTTGAAAACTAGAATTAAGACACTGTCAATATTTGGCCCAGGCTTACTTGAAATCAGAAACATTACAGCACTGAAACATACATACTCATCAGAAATGACAATTTTATAACTTCAATGCTGCCACACACTATCTTACCAACAGTGAGAGGATGTAATTCCTCTTCTTTATGTAATCCTTCACATAGCCACTGCGACCAATGGACCTACCACGACTCTTACGTCCCCCTAAATAGAGCATATGTTGAAAATCTATACTAATACATTTCAGCTGATGAATGCAGTACTGATGAATAATACTTAAGTATCTATTCTCGTCTGTTCAGGATCCAAAATACTTCCAAACTTAATAACATAATGTCTTTCCATTTAATGCAAAGATCAATATACATGTATGGGAATCATAACTCCAACATGGCAATAAGCTTTTTTTTTGTCAGTTAGCAACATTAGATATCAGACTTAAAGGTTAAATATAAAATCAGCAATAACCAAAGTAACTTCCCCTGATATTTATATTTGATACATAGAAAAAGCTTAAGCACACACCTGAGGAGCGCTTTGAAATGGTAGACATATTACTGGAGAGAGACATATTAATCCAGCCTTGTTGTGGAACATGGGATCTCTGGGAGAACTCACTGCCTGACCTCATGTCAGTGGGGGTCAAGGAGAGCATGTTCTGACCACTGGCATCATAATTTTCTGAAACTGTGGGAAAACACAAGGCATCAAAGAATTCATATTAAAGTTAACATAGCAGATATTGAAAACAAAAGACCTTAATATGGTGTACGCGCATGCACACACGCACACACCATGCTTGGGTCTCGTCTCTTAACATTTACTGTAGTCAGATATACTACTTGTATAGGTGACATGAACTCATGCTTCACATTGTGAATGTCACATACGCTTTGTTGATTTTGGGTGTTTCTATAGCATAAACTTGACAGACAAAATCCATGCATTAATGCAGAACTTTTTCTTATCAAGCGCATAATAACAGTTTGTATAGGCAATAACTGGTTTTTTATACTTGGAGAAGTGGTCAAAAGCAACAAACCACAAGGCCCTCTGTGCCAAGCTGAAAGCGATATCAATATTCACCACAACCTCAAAAGCATATTAAGTCAGCATAAAATGCACTACTTAAATCATCTATCTTATAAATTTACCTCCTGTAGGGAAAACCGATGACACTTGGAGGTACTTCCTGTCAGAGTGCATGCTGGTCCAGTATTTGACTAGAGCAAGGATATCATCTCTCAGATCTGAGCCTTGCTGGGTTGGCCACCTGGGAGCCACACTAACAAAGAGGACCATACTTTGAAAATCTCAGTGAAAAAAATCACAAGGCATCCTCTTTTAATTTGTTATGACTTATGTGTTACATCCAAAAAAATAGAAAGAAGCTCATCCAAAATGGTTTGTTAATTTTTGTTGTTGTTGTTGCAAAGATTACATATCCTTATTATGATTCATTAAAAATTGGTTTCATTTTTCCAATAATTGCCTTTCGAAAATGTATTACAGTTACCTAAAATAATCCAGTGTTGCAGCATAAATTCTTTCCCTGAGAACCCCCTTGCTGTGACTAGATGGCATTATGTCTCCCTGCACCAAGGATAGGCCTATGTTCAGTAGCCTACAAGAAGGAAATTATACATAGAAGACATATATATATCATATATTCAAATAATCTTTTTTCTTCACTTTTCACCTAAAATATTTGCAATTAACCTATAAGATATTCTTACAGTTTATTTTCACAAAGGGTGCAGTGTTAACTTACTGTTAAGATGAAATATATACATGTATTGCGCTGACACAAAATTAATCATCTTAACTTGATGTTTCAATGACAACATTTAAGACACACAAAATAAAGTCAATAACAGCGGTAAACAATACGTGAAAGATTGTTATCATGAAAAGAAAAAAAAACTAGTAAAAAATAATACAGAAAGTGTCATACCTTAATCTAGCACCCAGAGAGGCAATGTGCCTGGACATGACATGGTTTGGCTTCCCAACACTGATAGACAGACTCTTATTCAAGAGAGAGACAAAGATGTCAACCTGGTCATTGCTGCAATACTTGGCAATTTCTATTCTCTCTTGAAAGAACTGCAAAGGGAAGAACAGAAGGAATACAAAACAATCCCGTACAAAACTAGAAGTTAATTTTTTTTTCAATTAAAAGGTGTTCTGAACTTTATCAATCAGAAAATAACCAGTTCTTCACCAGCCTGTTTTGGTTTACCCCAAGTGTAAAAGTGTCATATAACAATAACAGACCGTTTACTTTACTTTAACCATAACATGGAATTGAATTCAAACGTTTTTTTTTTTTATTTTTATAAAAATTCAGTTATTACCTTAATCCAGAGCAGATGAGGGCTGACATCTGGTGGCTGTGGCTTAGGTATGTGATTCTCTGAGGCAGCAAGTGGGCTGGTCTCTGGTTTATCCACAGAAAACATCCCTAGTCTCAGGTCCATTGTCATCTGCCAGGCACATGCCATCTCCTGCATCACCTATTTGTATACATATACAACAATAGAATATGCATATGGCACAGGTAGGTAGCAAAAAAAAAAAAAAGAAAAAGATAATTAAATGGATTAACGACTTCACCCAATTCTGTCTCAAATGTGTGAAGCAATAAGAGAAATGGTTGAGATCAACAAGTCAACAACAAGGATATCATAATGATATATTTAATGTATAATTTTCAGTATGGCTGCGTGTTAAACCTTTCACCTACCTGTAGATTGAGGTCAGGTCTGGCAGCCAGCAACCAGTCCCAGCAAGCTACGGCTGCTGACATTGCACTCTCAGTGAACACCTTCACTGGGGCCCAGCAGACATGATGAAGAAGTTGACGGTCAGATCCTAGAGGAAAAGGTTGGATAAAACAATGACAAACTAGGGAAACTAATAGCATATTTGCTCAGAGATTACAAGCCATAGTAAGAGCACTGCACATTAATGAAGTAGACAGTACATGGTTGGGTATACACAGACAAAAGAGGTATCACTATGTCAAATAAAGACTACATTTAAAGAGACATTCAAATTACACCAAAAATATGACATCATTTATTTTATCTTAATTCTTTTACAAATAAACTGTACATGTAATGTGGCAAATGTATAATCCTACCTTCATTAGAAATGAGTAATGCAGTTACTCGGAACAGAGATTGACGAAAGTCTTCAATTTCTGGAAATGGAAAAAGTAAGATTTATGAAGGAAAAAAAAACAATTTGCATTTGGAGGCATTTTTTCTCCTACCTAGAGACCATAAACTGTGGATATGATTCTAGGTTTTTCTATATGTGAAGTTAAATAATATAATATTATCATCTTAATATTTAGCTTCTACTTAGGCTAAATTCTTGGTGTATACATACTATTCTCCATACAGGCTTGATCTAGCTGCCTGCACAGCAGTTTAATCAGAGCCTTGTCATCTCCTTGAAAGGCAGCCTTCATACCATGAACCTAGGTAGAAAAACATGTAAATCATGTGCTGTACTGTGTACTTAGGCACACAAACAAATCTACTGAGTTTTTAATTAATAAATGATCAAATGCAAAAAAGGCAAACAATATAACCATGTATTTTTTTACTTGATTTACACCAATCATTGTATTCTTTGGTGCAATTTATTCCAAAAGCAGATTTGAATATGATTCTAATACTCTTTTCTTGATGCCGACTTTCTCTCATTTATAAACCTACTAACTGGATACCTTTTTCATATCATCCATATTTCAAATTTTGGTTAAACTGACTTAAAATCATTACTTTTGCTAACCATGATAACTTTGCAAAGAATCCTGAAATGACATGATTTTTTTTTTACAACTAATGAACCTTGTAAACAAGACATTATCACACTTAGCAAAATCTTTTCTTATTTTGATACAACAAACTTGCCCAAATCCCCCTTTCATGTTATGCAAATAATTTACTGTATTTATACAGGTGCAAAATAGCTCATTACCTCTCCAGTATACCTGCTTCTGAGACTGAAGTATGACATAAATGTAGAGGAATCATTGGTGACACATGCAGGTCTCCTGCTCAGAGTCAGAGTCTAAAATCAAGCAATATGGAATAAAGAAAACAGTGATGTGCTATCCAAGTTGGGTTACAAAAATTGTCAAAAAATAAAAAATAAAATGCACAACTCTACTATTAGATTATCTAATTTTTTTTTTAAAAAAAAGCTTGATGCATTAATTTTTAAGGAAACCCTATGTATTCTTCCCAAAACTGTGGGCAGTCAGAGAATTTTTTTTTGTTTTTTTTTTTTTTGACAGTTCACCAGTACCAGACCAGTATTTTTTTTTTTACATATAGGACCAGCTGACTTTATTGACGATTGGTCCAACTTCTACCAGTGCCCTGTCAGAAACTTACCCCCAGTGGTGCAGCCTGTCTGTTATATCCAGCATACTTCAGCACACTCTCTGTAGCCAGGGCCAGCCCACTGTGTAGAGACAATCCAAACTGAGAGTTTTCAAGCTGTAGCAGGTACTCTATGAGAAATGAGCGGGCAGCGTTGGGAGCCCACTTCATTACCTCCTTCAGGATGTCTGTACAGCGAGCAGCAAAGTCATTCACTGTGCTCTGTTAAGTAAAGACAGTTTAATAAGATTTTGGGTCACAATTTTGATTCTTTTGCTGATAAACAGAGCTGAAGTCAACAATACTTGAATGCCCTTGTATATTAATATGGAGAAAGAGTGAACTGGATAAAACTACATGTCACTTCAGTTCTTTTGGACAACTGTACTTAAAATCATTAATTATCAAATGATTCATTATCAAATATGAATTGTATGCTCTTAAATTCATTTGTTTGACAACACATTAATCCTACCTCTCTATCATCTAGGTTGTCCATGATCCTCAATGTGTGTGGAGTGTTTTGTACTTTTAACTCTGGGGCTTCCTGGTTAGGGTCCTGAGGAAGTGAAAAATAATTCTTTAAGTTTTCTCTGCTATCTTTCTATCTCATTGTTCTTTTGAAATTTTAAACCAGAAACACAGCCCATTTAGTAAAGCTTTGTCACATTTTTCACAGCTGTCACATTGTTCAGCTTGTATTTATATCATGTGAGAACAAATCCATCAAGTGTGATATATTAAAGACTACTTACCACTTCCAACGACAAGGACAGTAACTGCAAAATATCCAACATGGTAGTTAAAATTGTTCCACTTAGTAACAGACTTGGAAATCTGAAAAAGTTTCAAGATACACTATCAAATATATGCATGGGAGTATTTGCAAATATAAAATAAATCTTACACAATAGAACGAGAAAAACATCACCTCACAATTATCAACATGCAAAGAATTATTGAATTCTAAGTTCTAAATGAAATGATTGAGATTTAAGTTCTAAATGAAATGAAATGAACCTCCTCAACATACCTGTTGAATAACCCTGTCAGGTATGTATCTGCCAGTTTTCTTATTTTCCTGTGAACATGGTTAAACTTCACAAGGAAGAACTGTCCATGCATTTCTAATTCCTTTTCTCTGGCCTCTGTCTTTGGCTACAGAAAACAAAACCAATAAAATAATTATTTCTTGGAAAAAAGAACATTTTTTATAATTCAAAAAATAAAAATAAAATATTTAATTAACTTTTTCCCCTGGAATATTATTAAAACAATTATGAATACAATAGATATCAACATATGTTCTGATGATATTTACTAGCTGATATGCAGAGCATGTGAAGACAGCATTATATAGTCTTTATAAACTTACTACTGCACTATGAAATCAAATAAATGTACTTACTTTCTCTGCCATGACATTAAGGAACATCTTGAAGGATTGATCCGCTACAGCTTGGATACAATACCACATGCCTGAATGATAGAGAGCATAACACTTGTTGCAATTTGCATTAATAAATAAGTTGCTTCCTTACACTGTATCATATTGATACCATCACCCAGCTAACAAAGTTATGGTTTCACCAGCAGTGCACTTGATTCGTGTGAAATCATGGTACTCTTCCTGAAAACAGTTAAGCTGTACTGACTGCTCATTCTAAATATTTCTACAGGTATACTGACAGTAAACTGTTTTACCTGCCTTATCCTTTAGAATTGTGCCATCTTCCAGATACTGAAATATCAACTGGAAGGCCAAGGGATCATCAGAGTAAGCAACTCTGAAATAGAAAATAATATGAAACAATACAAAGTGATTTCTGCATTTGTAGTAGTATGTATGTTACAAAATGTGCTGGTCATGCCAATATTAAGCAGCAACTACTGCCATGAACTTATTTGCCAAAATCATGACAATAATAGTATAATGATGATTATGATGATGATGATGATGATCAACAAACCAAGCCTCTTACCTCAGTGTTTCCAGTTTGTAGACGGAGAGTAGATATGTGAGCTGTGAAAAGCTGAGCTTGTTAATGACAGGGACAGCATCTGGAGGGTGCTCCAACTGGGCACATATCTCTCCCTTCAACTCATTCAGCTTAGCCTAGTAGAGATGAACTGTCTATGTACAGGTATACATAGTTGTCAACATTTCAATTCAATCTATATTATATGTAATATGACCATGAAAAAAATATTCCCAATAGCAACTTTGTCTTTTCAATTCATTTAAAATAATGTAATGAAGTTTTTTTTTATAGATCATAAAAAATCTGTTTATGCAAAGAGGAATTTATTGCAATTTCTTGCCAATGTGGGGCGTTTTTCACAGCTAACTCAATATGCTATCTGCACATTACTTAACTTACTGGTGCCACAGAGTCATCTCTGAGAGCAGAATTATAGAGGAGTTCAGATCTCAAGTGTTCCCTGGACAACAACAGTGGAGACTTGCAGGCAATCTCACAGAGACCTTCAAACCATTCCTTGGGCCAAAATCCTAAAGTATGATAAGAAATGCCTGACATTAGCTGTAAATAGCCAGGTATGTCTATAAATACTTTTCCTTGATTTTTATTATGATATAAAGGTTATTTTTCCTTTGCTTAAATCTCTATTCCGTAAGATGCATGTAACATTTTTCACAAAAATCATTAAGATTAACAGGGTAAATATTTTATTTCCATGAAAGACATGAACTGCATAGCAGGAAAAACTTTACTATATAAGTCATATTTTATATTACAAGGATTACTTCACCTGAATCTTCGACTGCAAAACCAAGTACCACACAGTAATTCCAAAAATCTCTGAAGAGTTTTAAAAGTCTATTTTTGGGTTGCTTTATGGGTGGCAGCCTCTTCACAACCTGAATAAGACAAATATAAAATTTATCAGCCACAAAAAGAAAGTTTAAAGTAAAAAATACAAAGCAGGTGATGTTATGCACAACAGTCAGCTGAGATGTGTAAAATTATAAAAATAAGTTTACAATGATGAGTAAAATTTTGAGAAGAGGTAGAAGTACCTACCATTGCTATAACTGGTATGAGAACTCCAAGGTTTCCAGCACTGGCTGTAGCCTAAAATGGTAAGCAAACAGCATCAGTTATGTAAAGCTAAATTTTCTGAGAAAAATGAAAAAAATCAGGATCAAAGCTAGTTGCACATCAATTGCACATCCAATTTCATGTAATTAAGCTTTATATTCTCAAATAATACTTATTGATATGTGAAATTGCACAATACTGACATATATTATTCAAATCAAACAGTATGGGCATATCTTACCTTGAGCACCTGTGATGTCTTTTCACTGGCCCTCTTTCCCTCCAGTCCCAACTGTACAAACAATTCCAGTAGTCCTGCCAGCAGGTCATACAGATCTGAGTCCTCCTGTAGACTGGCTGCTATGTTAGCATACGCATTGATCACTGCCCCAGATACATGTCTGAAATGGGGTTTATATTCAGATTGATAAACTGAACAGTTACATTAAAACAACAGCCTCAATGACTTGAAATGGCTATACAGATTTATTATCAAACAATCATCCACATCTTTAAAAATTTCAAACCATGCAATAATCCATTTGAAACAGAACAGCAGTTATCTTGAAATCTCAGCCTCAGTCTGTCTTACCTGTATCCCTGGTGACTGGAAGGCTTGCTGTAGGCACTGCTGCTCTCTATGCTGATCATCTTGAACATGTCCAGAACCTGCTGCTGGATACTGGGCTGCAATGACAATTTTATTAGAGGACAAATTCTTCAAATTCTGGGTCTGGAATCATTTATCTATTTTGTACTTTCACAAAATATTTTAATGCATTTTTAACACGATTCCACTTAGCTGATGAAAAATTACAAAACCCTCTCCCCAACTTACACATCCAGCTATGATCATACAACCCAGCTGATCCACAATCAGTTTGTCAAAGTTTGAAGGAGGATTACAGAACCTCTGCTGGAAGACCTGCAGCACAGACTCTGCTGTCTTAGGGGTGTCCTTCAGAGACACCGCAACATGTCCTAGGAGCAGGATGGTGTTATGGGTAATTACATTGGAGTCTCTGAAACATAAAATATGATGCAATTTATTACTCTTGTACCACAATGGAATACATTTCCACTCCAAATTTTTTAATAGCAACACAATACTTAATAAAACTTAAACAATCAATTCATTTACCAGTGTGATGAATTTCAGCTTTTACATAATAATTAACTCTATTAACATTTTATTTGTAACAAATCTTACCTGTCACTTGATTCACTGATGTACAACCTGTTAGACAAAGAGGCCAAGAAAGCTTGAACACAATCTGGATCTATGGTTAATCCGGCCTTCAATGCTCTGGAAAATGTGAAAATGTAACACTGTACTTAGTCAAAGAAATGTGAAAGTGTAAATCATTATTACTTACAGAACCAGTGATTACACTGTAACAACTACAAAAATGAAATCCCTAAATGAGAATTCCTTCAGCTTCTGTTTCCTTGTACGATTACAGAAAAAAATGAAAAATCATGTAAAAAAATATATTAAAAAAAAAAAAAAATCCAACAGAAAACAACATACCTGCAAACATTTTCAATGGCAGTGTCTCTCAGATTTTCCATGGCTGCTGCAACCTTATTCCTGCTCTTAGATTTTCCCACCTGAGGTTTGATAGGTTTGCTCTCATCTGTCACTGTGATGCTCAAGTCTCCAACTTTCTTCACACCGTCATCAGTGAGCCGCCGGTTAAGTTTGGCAATGATGGGAGAAGGGTTCACCATAAAGTCACGCAGGGAAATGATGGTAGTGTTGGCAAGAGTGGGAAACTTCTCAGCCATTCTTCCCAAGGCCTAAAAAGTCCAGTGAAGGATGTAGACTAGTGTAATAAGGTGAATTTCATACCATCTAATCCATTCTCATCAGTGACTTTAAAAACGAAGACATTACTACTTGCTTCTGTTTCTTTGTTAGTTATTTATTAATTTTTTAATTTTTTTTTTCTTGTAAAATTGATGGTATTAGAATGGCTAATATCACTTTAGTGTTCTCGAGAGTATGTATAACTTTGGCTTCTTTCTAGTTAGGTATCATTATCTTTAATGTAAACTATATTCAAAATCAAAAATACATAATAGATGTATGAAAAGTTTCTTACCTGAAGACACACCACCAAAAGAGGGTAGTGAGCCATGAGCACTTTGAACTCAATGGGTGTGCTAAGTCTCTCTGTCAGACGACTGTACAGCAGTGTCTCTGCCTCTGAAACAATTGTTACAATAAAAATTAAATTTCATTTGCAACACCAACCCATCTACAATGTAAGTTATATCAATGGCAAATCATCAATGTTCATATTTTAAATTTAGGAAAGATTCATGTGGTAATTTTCCTGAACATTTGGTGCTGTACAACCTCTTTAGCTACATGTTCATTTCCTACATTTATAAACTGACAAACCAACCAGTGCTTTTGATTGTTTTTTTATGAGATAAATATCACCAACCTGTTTCATCTTGGACTGCCCAGAACAGGAGCTCTATACAAGCAGAGTTACTGGCCACGGTCAGGCTGAAAGGATTGACCTCCCCCCTCTTCTCAGCCTTCTCTCCATGATCATGCTGGCGGCTTAGTAAATCCTTCTGCCCTGATTTATAAACGACTTTCACAAACTCTTGGACTTCTTTGGTAAAAGTAGCTGCTAGATCTATAAAACACAAACGATGTCGGTGATAGACAGTTTCCTGTTTAGTTGCATTTGCTCTTATTAATTCAATATACATTATTCAAATTATACATAATACTAGAAGAAAAGAAAGAAAAATCAACCCAAGCAGAGTAGGATGCTGCAATAGAACTATACCATACTATATGTAACCTGCCTTTGTTATGCTTCAATATGTCTCTCAGCATTGCCACTAGCACCAGGCTGATGGTCTCACTAAAGCTTTTGTATGGGAACCTTTGGTGCTGGGAACCCTATTCAATGGGAAAAATATGCAGTTGATAATATAATGACACAAGAGCCTTGGTAAATAATTGACGGCATAATCTTGCACCCTTTACTATTACAACTGCTAACTTTGATATAAAACTGATTTGAAAATTCAATTGAAGACCACCATAACAGCAAATTAAAACCATGAGGCACTTTCTCACTAAGGTAACAGTCATGTGTGACAGAAAAGTCTAAATAATGTACTTACTGCAAACAAGCTTGATGCAGCCACATCTATGCTTTGTAACTTTTCCTTGCTCAAAAGTTTTCTAGCCTAAAAATAAAAAATTGAAAATGGTGAGGTTACATGAAGTGCCATAATCATGTACCAAAATTTTCATCTTTGTACATGCAGCTGGGTTGGTATACCTTACTATAACATCTAAATGCCTTGGTAACATTAATTTGAACTGCAAATTCACATTATGAACATTGAGATATTCCATTCATTTTGACAATGATTAAAAGATGAGTTAGGGATACATGAACATATCTTTATAATGGTACAATTGCTTAATTTTAGAATTCCACACCACCTACCCATGTCAGCAGCAGCTGTACATCACTGCTAGAGAAGGATATCAGTCTCTGACCAGGTGTTGGTCCCTTGTTTCTTTTCCTAGTGAAACATGAACCTGGGGTGTTAAAATAAAATGTTGCAGGGTCCACTAGCTCCTCATGCCAGGTCTCTGGCTGTGCCACAAAGTCTGTCACTGGGGATGGAGATTTTGATCTCCTCCTGCTAACAGCGCCATCTACATCAATTCTGGGACTTTTGGGTCTGTCAGGGGATTTGAGCAAATTTTGAGATAAGTTCCTTGGAATAATTGGGCGAAAATCTGTAAAGCTTCTGCGCTGTGATAAATCTACTTCATCAACGTCCACTTGAGTAGAAAGTGCTGATTCTGGGGGGAAAAGCTGACACAGGAGAGGGGTGTCTTGACTGCTAGTTCTCCCCAGAGCCCTTACCAGTCCAAGGAATACTGGGATAACTGATTTACAGAGCACCACTGAAATACAGTAGGAAAGTAAATTCTGTTAAAGCACAGCCATAAAATTTAATAACATCCATTTGGTTAAAAATTTCATAAAATATTCCTGAAACTTTTTATAATTCATGAATATGAATTTTTCAATAAAAGCAAAGTACACAGAGAGAAGAAATGCACCTCCTAAAAACTATTTACAGTGGAATATATAATGTGTTTTGGTTGTAAATTGTTTTTCGCAAATTGGAGCAACATGATAATGTTATGCAGCACATTTCAGTACTTACCTGGATCCTCAGCTGCATATCAAAATATATCGCAAAACATGCATAATTCATTAAAAAGTTTATTATATATATATTAAATGAATTCAACTGATTGAAAGTTTAACTAATCTGCTAATGTTTGAAAATGTTTAAAAGGAAATATAAAAACTAACTAAAACTAGTAAAAAAATACCTGAAAATTGATGACATCAACATCTATGACCTCTAATTTTCTGAGAAAGGCCACTTCATAGCCTTTGAAACATTATTTAAAAATAAAATAAAATTTAAGCAGTCATAGATAAATCAATACATTGTAATAAAATTGTTATCTAAAAAGTATACTGATAAGAAAGGAATATTTTCTCATTTCCTAAGAAAGATATCCAACCTCACCTTTTGGAATATCTTGGGATCCCTGAATCATTTTACAAAGTACTTGAAATACTTCAAGTTGTGAGGACACAATCTGAATTAAGAAATAAAAGCAAGTTCTTGTGCACATTTATTATTATTATTACCTTTTTTATACTTCATAATAACTAAAGGGTAGTAAAACCGATTTCTTTTAAAATATCTGACTGTTCTAAGTATCTTACTATCACAGTAAACAATATAATTTTAATGTCCAAAAAAGAACCTGTTTTGTGTTTTCAATACTAAGACTTTATATTGTATACCTGTTCTTGTAAAGCTTCATCCCTTTGAGCCACATCACTCAGCAGTGTATTCAGACAGAAACTGAAGCACTCACTAAGTGGAAGTCCTGATATTGAAAAAAAAAACGGTAGAATACAGTTCAACTTGTGGTAAGCACATAATCAGGTAAAAATTTAAGTTTTAGGTGAAATAATATCAATGCAATTCAAAATAATTTTAAAACTAGAATTCACTCTAAGCTGAAAACACCCACTAGTGCAATTAACCCTTCTGTGTTTTTGTAACAGTGACCACCACACATAGCATAGCACTTACTGTACTCTGGACTTCTGTGTGCACTTTCTATCCATTGTGCATTTACCAACCCCTTCAATGTGTTAAGTAAATATGGGAGCAGCTTGTCAGCATACTGAAATAAAAAAAAACATAAATTCAATAATAAATCAAAATCATCTTAACTATAAAACTGATCCCAGGGCATGCAATAGCCTTATCCTTTTGCTCTCTTGCAACAGTTTTGAACAAGAATAACTTACCAATCAGTTTACAGAAATTCAATTCAGCTTGAAGAACAGTTGCATTGACATTAATTCCTGCGCCCATACTCTACCTGCAAGCCAGATTCCAAGAAATAAATTCCTAATGCAGTGATTGCATTGTGCGATCTTTGATCAAGATGTAAAACACCATGGCTGGTTGGCACTGGGCACAAAGATAGCAGGCGGCTTACCTAAAATGAACCAACAAGTGTATATGCATACAGCTGTTCATACCTTGAGCGAATAATAGTCCAAGTTCATACATACATACATACATACAAACATACAATGTAAATGCACACAGCACATATCTTCGTGATAAAGCTGTTATTTTTTTTTTTTTTTCTTATTTCAGCCTTCCATGTATAAGCAAGATCGCAGATATACAAGCAGTTTCAGTATACTGCAGAGTACACTGCTAAGTATAATTACTCCTAAACTGGGTACAGGATTCAGCATATAAGATGGCACTGAAAATGAATATAACCTTCAAACTTTCTACGAAGCTGGCCGGTTAAGTGTCAACAGTTGGGCGGATGCTCCGAGTGTTGTGATACGTCATGTTTGATTTCTTGTTAAACATATATACTAAAAATGTTTCCCAAAAGAGGACAGATATATTTTTATTACGTACCTTCTCCCAAGGTGTTGGGTTCAGTGCCGCTAGTGATCTTGAGAGATGTTTGAGAGTGTCAAAATGAAACTTCTCTCTACTAGTGGCCATATTTGTTTCCATACCCAGTCCGTATCGGTGATCGGTATTTTTTTTATCAAGAACAAATGAAAAAATATTTTTCTTTCAATAAAAACTACAGAAAAAATTACAAAATTAACAATATGTAGCTTATAGACTGTTATTGATTATTTTGTCAACCCCTCTTGCATTTACTGCGGATTCAATAAAAGCCGGCTACTTCCTGTTCAACAGGAGCGTGGAAACTTGAAACGAACACAACCCCTTTGAAAATGTCTACAAGTTCGCCAAAAGAGAAAGAAAAGAAGAAGAAAAGGACAATACGGCCAGAAATAAGTGCCCCAAAGATCCAGGTAGCTAAAAAGCCGAAGAACGAGCTATCGGTAATTAAAACTTTAATTTAGATAAGATATTGTTGTTAATTTCATGTAAGTTAATTGTACATGTACCAGTAAGTTTATAACTTTGTAAGTTGGAACCGAAGTTATATATAACATTTAAAATATTTAAGTAAAAGCTATTTAGCATGAACTTGTGAAGCCCAGTTATTAGTCTCTGTACTGACTTTGTGGCAAAGGATCGGAGTCTAAAGAGCTTTATCTTCAAAAGAAGGTCTATCTTACCTGTGTGTATGAATGTGACCAAATGTAATTTGAAGTGAAGATAAAAAAAGTCCCGCCAATTTCTTAAATTGTATCAACAATATTAATTACCTAGTAATATATCACCTTTTTTTTTTTTTTTGTGAATGACTTTCCTGTGTTTACTTGTGACTGGACTTGTGAATTGCGCTGTATTGCTGTGTATTGTACGTTTTAGTGTGAGATCACTCATGGGTTAACAAACATTAAGTGTGCATGCTGAAACATCAGTATATTCACCAATTGTTACTCTTGACCTTCTTTTATTTTCCATATGATTATTGCAGACTGGTCGTCAGTTCTCAGAAGAGGATGAAGTGGAGAAGAGAGATCCACTGGATGATTTAAAGGAACATAAGCAGGCATGCAGTGAGATAAGGAATTCCATTAAAAGTATATCAGCAATGAAGGACGCTGGTAAACCAGACACGGTGAGACACAAGCACCTGTGATATACACAAAAGTGATAAATGTGTGTTCAAAGAAAAGGTGTTTATTCAATTTCTTAGAACTTATCACTGTTTGTATAATTTTCAGACTGACTTGTATCATTTTTGTGAACTAGATGATAAGCGTAAATAAAAGAGTTTGCTTTTCTTTTTAATTCAATTAATGATTATTTTTTTCCAGAAAACTTTTTATTTATACATGTAAAAAATTTGTGCTTTCAGGGAGAGGTGGAGGAGCTGCGCACACAGGGCACACTTCAGTTTCTTGTGCTCAAGAAACTCAACCGTTTGGCACACATCCGCTGCAAGAAAGTGAGGGACAGCACCAATGAGGTATAGTTTATTTTAGCTTGTAATCAACCTATATTCATTCAAAGTATGTTAATTTGTACCTAGTGTTCACTGGGGATAAGATACTTGTTAAAATATTCATAGTTGCTCTACTCCAAATATCAATAAAACACAGCTTGCATTTCATTAAGGAAAGGGTGAATCAGCATTTTTTATAATGAATTTATAATGTATTTTCATGATTTACCAGGCCAAACAGAAGATAGACCAATATCACCTACAGTTACAGAACCTGCTGTATGAAGTCATGCATTTGCAGAAGGAAATTACAAAGTGTCTGGAGTTTAAGTAAGTTTTTCATTATTGATAAGGTTTTGCCTAATTTTAAGTTACAGTGATAAAAAAACAGATGATCAGTATTTTACAAGCATAAACTTTTCATTTAACTATACACTTCTCTATATTTGAGTGATAGATAATTAGCATTTTTCGAGCATAAACTTTTCATTTCATTATTTACTCTCATATATTTGGGTGAGGTTAAATTGGCTACCCACCACTGTGTTAAAATCCACTGAATTTTGGTCTATTTCATTTTCTCAGCTAAAGCAGTTTTCTTAACATGCAACTTTTTTTTAATCAGGTCCAAAGATGAAGAAATAGACCTTGTCGGTGTGGAAGATTTCTATAAAGAGGCACCCCCAGAAATATCAAGACCAGTGAGTTTTGAACTTCACATTTTTATTGACCATTTTTTCCTGTGAAGTCTGCTACTTACATGTGGAATATGGGAATTCACTAGGGATTAATTAGTTTTCCCTGATTCACTTGAACTGAATACTAACTAGTCTGTCACAGGTTACTCCCAACACATGTTGGTACCCATTTCAACACCTGGGTAAAGGGATACACTACCTGTAACATGCTTATAAAGGGCTCACACAAATTAGTAACCATTGGGTTTAAACTCTCAGCCTCTTTTGTACATTTGCTCTTCCATACAACAACTGACTACAATCTCACCGCCTTAGCTCATATATTTAGCTTGATTTCAAGTTGTGGTTAATGGTCTTGCTGTTTACTGCATTTACATTATCTTTTTCTCCTGAAATAAAGCAATTCTGCCCCTGACTTTTAGTAAAAGAGAGAAGAAAAGGAATTAGAAGGCTGGTAGAATAACTCTTTGTTGGGTAACTTTGTAAAAGATCTATGACATTTGAATTCTTTGTTTTAGGAGGTAACCAAGAATGACCCACATCAGCAGACCCTGGCCAGATTGGAGTGGGAGCTAGAACAGAGAAAAAGGTGAAGTAGATAATTCTAATAAGATCACAATTTAGACAGATATAACAGTTAAGTTTAAATGTGCTGTCTTTTATTTATGAAAATGCTCTGAGGTTTCTTTAAAGATCATGGAAGTTAGTTGGTACATACATGTGATTTGTGATTATCCAAATTGCTGCTTGATTTGTTTCATACATAATGAACATGATTTATATTGAAGGTTGTCTGCAAATTTCAAGGAGACTCAGAATAGCAAGAATTTGATATCCCAAGATATCAAAAGCAAGAAGGAATACTTAGAGAGCTTACAGCCTAAACTTGTCTCTATAATGCAGGTTTGTAGGAATAAATCAACATTTCACAGATAATTCACAGATTTTATGTTTAATTTATGCATGCTTATGCAATTTTAACATGTCATGAAATATATTATTTTGTAGGAGTTAGTTACAATGAGCATTTCAAACTTAAAGGGATAATAACTCTTCGTATGAGATCTATATTTCACAATAAAAACATTGTGAATAACTCATAGAAATAGAATATATTCTGTTTTACCACAAAAACGGCAGTTATAGCTATTATTCTGATATCTGAGCTTGTCTTTAGACCACGTGACCTCCATTGATGGCCATAGTCTGTTAAAATCTCTTAAGAGATTTTAACAAAAAATCAAACTTTTTAGAAAAAAACCAGGGACTAACTTTGAATGTAAAAATGGATTCATTAACCATTGGTAAGTATGGGAAAATTGTTGTTTACTCCAGGAAAATTCATTTTTTGGCCGAAACGAAGAGTTATTATCCCTTTAATCTGTATTATTCAAGCGCAGAATTTAACACGGCTTATATCACACCATGTAACACATTATTTTCTCCCAGGCCACCAAACCAGTACAAGAGTCTCTGAACATGAGATTTGATGAGATCCAAGAGCAGCACCAGACTGCACAACATCTTCCTCAGCCACTGTATGTTCTGTACATGCAGTCATCTGCCTATAAGGAGGCATGTGGTAGGTGTGACAGTGTGGGAAATGTAACAAATGTGTCAAGTGTGACATTGTGATAGGTGAGAAAGTGTCTTCTGTGTCAGTGTTTGGTATGACAGTGTGATGGACATGACAGTGTGTCAGTCTATAACGTAAGCTGAGACAAGTGTTTTAGGTCTAACATTGTATATGACCAGACATTTGGGCAGAGAGTATGTTGTGGTAGATGAGAAAAATGAGTTGGGTGTGGCATTGTTAATAACCTTTAATTAACAGTTTTGTAAAACATTTTCAAACTTTTTATCAATTTTCAAGGAAAATAGTTTACATTATACACAACCTTTTGCAAGTTAAACAATGCTGCCTGATTGTTTTCAGCACTTTTGTTCATATTCCATACATTTCCTAATCCTTTTTGTTAGTTTTTGAGTGCTTTTGAAATTATCATTATTATTAGTTTTATTCTTGTTTTTGCAGATAAGAATATGGCTGTCAGTATAGAGGGAGATGTTGAAGCAGCAAAAACAGTGGAATCCCAACAAGACCAAGAGCAAGGTAGGTAACTTAGTCATCAGTGTCACATCTAACACAATACAAGTAAATTTGATGTTAAAAATCCTGTAAAGAATTCTCCTAATAAAGTGAATACAAAAGAGCATACAAACATATAAGTGACACTTAATCTCACATCATGCATCCAAGAAGGGAGCAACGCAATGACCTCTGGAATCACGCGATGATCTCTCGTAAAATCTTGGTTAACCATGTTGCCATCATAGTAGAATTTGTTGTTAAAAATCCTGTAAAGAATTCTCATGAAAAAGTGAATACAAAAGAGCATACAAGTATAGTCTCACATCATTCATGTCAGTGGTTTTTAGCCAGTCATCCAGCTTGCATAACAGATGCTGTGCAATAACCAAAATTGCTGATGTGCGGGGCTGTGGGCGTTGTTTGCAGTATTTTGAAACCCACATTTCAGAGAATGTGTGATGTGGTTCAATCATAATTGGAATGTAAAAGAAGTGTTAAAAGAGATGTCAATATCAGTGCAGTCTATACATTAGGTATGCTGTATGAATCGTGATACCCCTTATGTTTCAGTTTTTTCCATTATGTATTAAGATGTGACACTCTTGGTTTCCTGAGATGCTTTAAATTTAGTTGACCACAGCCATCTGTGCCAAGTTGCTCCATATTTTGTATCTTGGAACCTAAGCCTCTGAAGCCTAGCTGCCAGTCAAACCAAACTGTCAATCAAGTGTCTCAGCCAATGAAAATATCTGATCAGAAATGTCTGTCTGTACTAGAGTCAGCCAGTCTTATCTCAGTCTTCAATGTACTGAATAAGGAAGCAGATATTTTTAAATTATTAAACTATACTAAAAGATTTGTCAAATTTTGGACTTCAGATGGCTGTGATTTTTTATACTCTAAGTATAAAAAGATATTCATTTCAGGGTCACTGGAAGGTCTTTTTTCTTATCTTTAATTTATTTGATAATTGAAAATAAGATTGATGAACTTGATAAATATTGTCACATAGGTAAAGCTGGCATCCTACCTTTAGATATATGCCCAATTCTTTGTATAATCAATGAAAAAGGAGCAGAAACTGCTGTGGTAGCATGATTATTCACAGTTGTGATTTCTTCATCTTTCTCAAAATTGTTATGTTACACAAAAACTAGCAAAGCAAGCTCTTTGGAGTTTAAGAGATTGTTTCTGTTTTTTAAATAAATGGTTTTGAAGAAGGAAGACACTTGAAGAGTAGAAGTCTTGCCTGTAGCAATAAATTATGTCAAAATAGAAAGATTGGTTCATATTTCTTTGATATGTATGTACTTTGTTGCAGATGTCAATATTTATACTATACTGCATAGATTCTTTTCCTCCAAAACCATGATTGTAAGTTACATTCCATTAATTTATTCTGCCACATTTTTTTAGATGAGGACAGTGACAGTGATCAAGAGGAACAGGAACAGTCCAAGAGGAAATCTGTAAGTTGGATTTTAATGAAGTGGAATGTTATGATTTTCCCTGTCATGTTTGAGTACATTGCACTCCTTATTTTCCCTATCCATGGTATAAGTCCCAACACATTGGTCCCTTTCATTTATGTACCCCACTTACACAACATGCTTTAATGGTTTCATTTAGAACAGTGGATTAAATAGTTCAAGGGTCAACTATGGCGATCCACTAAAAAGCTTGCCATCTAATCCGCTAATAGACACTGAATAGATTCCCCGTGGGGAATATTCAAGTGGGTCAGCCATATTTGACCCTCAGACACGTTAGTCCACCGTTCTGAATGCGGCCTATGATGCATACACACAACTTCTCAACATGTATTTTGTTTGTTACTACAGCATTGCCATAAGGATTCTTTGCATTATAGGCTGAAATATGTTGCATATTGGGGAGGCATAAGTTGCCATAACAGTGTATGTTTGGTGTCTCTTTTTTCTATTTGACTTCTCCTTGTCTTGCCTTGTTAAAATTTTGGGCATCAGCTTTTAGTAGTCTTTTATTTGGCTTACATCTTACCTGGGTAAGTGGGGAAAGCAGTATATGATCATATTGTTTGTAGTGGGATGGGTACTGTTACTTGCAAAACGAAATCCAGTTTAATCTGCTTTTAATTAGGAAAATCTATTATTAACATTGTTCATTGATCACTATTTAATGGCATATGCAAGGTTTGCTTTGGCACACAGCTGCTACACATGGCAATTTAGCAGTGTTTTCCAGTACTGAAGTTTATCATTTTTATAGTTACACAGACACTGTAAGTATCTGTAGATATTCTGATCAGTCTGTCTGTCCATGTCTTGCTGCACTGTTTACATACTTTTGAAAGATGCTGTTTACAGTTGTCTGGCTCATTGGTTGTGACATTGATAGTGACTTTATTTGGCCTGTATCACCATACACACCATTTTTTTTTTTTTTTTTTTTTTGCTTTTTTTTTAAATTGATATTTTGGAGTTTTGAATAACTAGGGATGGATGAAAAATCAAATAATTTATTGAATAAATTCCATGAGTTATTCATAGAATGAGACAGTAAAGATCATTTGTTTGTTTGTTTTTGTAAAAAAATAGAATAGATGAACATTGATAAATAGATCACATTTATGAATTTTAAATAAAGCCATTGAAAACTATAATTATTTTTGTAAATATTTTCCTTTATTGAATTTTAGGAGGGTAAAATATGATAAAACACAGCAAAAAAGATTAATAATAATAATAATAATAATAATAATAATAATAAAGATGGAAAATGTTTTTCCCAACTTTTCCATGTCATTAACAGGTTTTGTTAAGAGCATAGAGCACTTACTAGATCCTACAGAGTATTGTAGTACTTTCAATAACCTTGGTGTGTCATGCACTGAAAACCTGTTAAACAGATCGGTCATAACTATAACTTGGGTATCATTGTTCTCAAGTGTTTCAGACTGCTGGCATATTAAAGCCAAAAAGTCATTTTAGATGATTTCTTCCGAGTCTACCTAATATCCACCTCATTGAATTCTTCCACTGATGCTCTAAAAGACATAACCTGAAAAGCACCCATTGGTACTATATGAAATTAGATCACCTCAAATAACGCTTACTCACCAAATCTGTAGATTTCCTTTACAACTGATGTCAATCTTTATCTTATTGCAACAGGTGTGTCATTTGTTTTCATTTCTGTATAAATGTTTCATAAGTTTGTGAGAATTGTAGAAATCTTAAGAGCATTAACACCTTGGTTTCTCCTTAAATCTTGAGAAGTATTTATCAGTCTATCTGAGTTGAATGGGTGAAGACAAGAATATACGTAAATATACGTATGTAACCAGTATGTAGAACGAACAGCATGAATGTTTCTTATGGTATGTGGAATAAGAGAGATGGGCCAAAACTTGAAATAAAAGACAGATATTTTGTTCCTTAATATTTGGAATATCCTGTGTGAAAATAATTTTTAAAAAGTAATTTTATTGTTTTAACAGATAAAATTGTACCATTCATTCTGGGAGCAATAAAAGAGTTTTTAGGGGAGGGGATACCTTGACATGCATTTACATTTATAACTGTTGTAACCAAACACAAAAAAATATGATTATACATATTTCATAGATACATTTTACTGTCGTGTCTAGAGTTCTGTTCTGAAAACTTCCTCTATGGGATGAACAAACCTAACCATACAGTTTCAGTCTTTATTCTCTGCCATTACTACATCAGATTATTTGATTTATTTAGAAGAAACCCTTTTTAAACAAAATGGCATAGATTTCTTGATTTTAGATATAATTTATGATAGGTGTGAACGCAAAAGACTTTAAAACCCAAATACACAATTTCTGGCAGAAGGAAGGTATTGCACCTCTCTCATGCTTTTTTTTTTCTTGATTGAAAAAAGAGAACACAGATAGAAAAACTAATTTGATAAATTTTAGCAAGGGAACACACACACACACACACAATAGTGCAGTGGGGTAAGGCAAAATAGAAATGAATTAACTGGAAATTGAGGATTGTTTTGACAAAGAGTGGGTTCAAGGTTGGGGAGATGCCATAAATATGATCTACTAAGCTTGTGGTTATTTCATATGTGAACAACACAGCATTTGAGGATCATGAAACA